CCGCCCCTGACGACGCTTCCTGAGAGCCGGAAGCCGCGGTTCCCACCAACCCCTTGCGGTCCCCACCCGCGTCAGACCCCAGCACCTTTTCCTTCTCTGCAGAAGGTACGTGAGCGCTCTTGTCACTCGAACCCGCACTTGTGAGGCAGTTTCCATGCCTCATTTCTCACAGAAAGAGGGGGGTGTCCCTTCTAATCCCTTCAGTGTGCCTGGATGAAAGAAGAATGTCCAGAACAAACCTTTTTTTTTTTTTTAAACACACAATCTCCTCCCAGAATAGATGAAGGAATTGTTTTTGACCTTAACTCTTTTTGGATCTACCGTACAGATCATCACAGAAATTTCCTACAGGCACCAAACCCTTAACCCCTAGTCGCCCCCCCCAAAAAAAAAATAGGGAAAAATATGGTGAACAAGAGAAGAGAATAGCCAACGGCTTGTGCTGAAATTCATAAGCAACTTAAAGGTAAGAAAAGAATCATCCTTTTACTAGTCCCCCTCCCCCACCCTCACCTCTACTCTCCCACCTCTCCACCCGCCATCCCTGCCAAATCCTAGGTAAGGCTCTGAAGGAAATCCCTGAATGCATTAGCGGGGACTATAAAATCATTGTTTACAGATGTCCTGTGTTTGATCCCACTCAGCCTCTAAGCTTCTAAGGTGCAAACGTCAGAACCAAAAACAAACAAAAGACTATCAAAATGGAAATAGGGAAAGAAAAATTCTCCAGATCCTCTGGCCTCCAGGTTTTACAAAAAGAGGATGTGTGTGTGTGTGTGTGTGTGTGTGTGTGTGTGTGTGTGTGTTTTCTCCACAGTGTGGTATGATAGAATGAGCTGGAACTTTGGTGTCAGATCCTGATATTACCAATCCATTTCCACCATGTATAGCTTTAGGACCATGGCAAGTTATGTAACATTTTGAACCTCAGTTTTCTCCTGCCTGCCTTGCAACTTGTGAAGATTGAAGATGGAGAGACTGGCCTTTTAGAAGGTACTCAATAAATGTTAGGTCCAATTTTTGCTGATTTCAGAACACTCTCAGTCTTTTTTAGGCCCAAGATTATGCCCAGCCAGAATTTTTGTTGTTGTTCGTTTTTATCTTTGTGTGTGTGTGTGTGTGTGTGTGTGTGTGTGTGTGTGTGAAAAAGATGTGTGCATCATTCATCATCCCTGGTCTGGGTGAAATTTCACTAACAGATTTATATAACATCCCTCCACTGAAGACCAGAACCTAATGCACTGGATCCTTTGACTTTCTGTTGCAAAGCAGATATCAACATAGAACCAGTATATTTTCTGTATAAAAATATAATAAAGCAGTCTTATCTTACCTTAGGTTATGGCCTAATAATAACAAATCATAATGAAAAAAGTACATAAGGTCTCCAGGAAATGTTCAAATAATAATTGAGCAGCCATCCAGAGAAAATATAACCTAGCAGCTCTCATCTCATCAATGAAAACTGTTCCTATATAGTCGTAGATGTGTCTTCACCACATACCTCTGAGTCACATTACAAAAAAAAAAAAATCGCTCTCCCCTTTTTATAACAAGAGAAACTGGGGCTTAGAAGGAAATGGTGATTCATCCTCATAACAACTTCATGAATTAGTAACTATGCTACCACCATTTTACATGTGAAGTTCATCCAACCTAAGGAAAAGCTGGAAGTAACCTGATGTTTTTCTCATCCCCTATTTGATACTCCAACAGTCCTCTTAGCAATATTAATAAAATGCTGCAAGGGTAAGTTACTATTGCTAAAAATTTTTCAGGCTAAAGAAAGGGGTTCTTTAATTTAGATCAGTTTGGCAACCTAACATAAGCACTGTGCTTTCCAAACCTAGATAACTACCACTGCAGGAAATCTGCATTTGTTTATGAATCAATTATGCTACCCAGGGTGTAGCTACTACTTGAAGATGATTCATTTGTTCCCAGGACTAGTTTCTTCTTGCTTCACAATTTCTCCCCTTCTCTTCAAATTCTGTTGCTGATCAAGCCTGACTTTACCATTACCACCACCTCCCTGATCATACTAGTTTACTTAAAATCCTTTTGGTCTACTACAATTTCAGTCCATTATTGGTGGCTCTTCCTACTCAGTTTGCTCCCTGCACCTGAAATACTTCTCATCTGCTTTTCTTCTGTCATAAATCTCCTTTTCATATTAATATCTTGGCCTGCAGTCAATTGACTTGATTACCCTACTCTCAATTTTTCATTGATTTTCATTATTATTCAGTGACTCAAAAATACCTTTTTATTCCCATGCTGTTTGGTCTACCTCCTCACTTTCATTTTTATGCCATAAACATCCTTTAGAAAGCCAGTATTCTAAGAATGGTTTTTTCAAGTTAGTTTAAAGTCACCCTTACCAAAATTTTCTTTGCTCTTTAGAAGGTGTTCTTTGGAGCTAGGGTTATGGCTCAGCGGTAGAGTGCTCGCCTCACATGTGGGAGGCCCTCGGTTTGATCCTCAGCACCACATAAAAATAAATAGATAAAATAAAGGTAGAATGTGTTCTTTAAAATTCAGACCAGGGGCTGGGGATGTGGCTCAAGCGGTAGCATGCTCGCCTGGCATGCGTGTGGCCCGGGTTCGATCCTCAGCACCACATACCAACAAAGATGTTGTGTCCGCCGAGAACTAAAAAATAAATATTTAAAAAAAAAATCTCTCTCTCTTTAAAAAAAAAAAATTTAAAAAAAAAATTCAGACCAAACCAGACATAGTAGTGCTCATCTGTGATCTTAGCTACTCTGAAGGCTGAGGCAGGAGGATCATTCCACCCCAAGAGTTTGAGGCCAGTGTAGGTGATATAACAAGATCCCATCTCAAAATAAAATAAAATCCAGGCCAAAAAAATATTCATTTCCTGGCTTGGTGAATGGCACCATCATCCTCCCAGTTGCCCAATCCAAAAATCTGTGGTTCCTCCTTTACTCCTGTGTCCTGAACAATAGGCCATGAAGCCTAATAAATTCTGTTTTCTTCCTTTTTAAATTTCTCTCCTCTCCAATTCTACTACTAACTTTGGTCTAGGGTATATGCTAAATTATAGGTGTACTAAAGGAAGAAAGAGGAATGAATGAATATTGTATTTGTGTACAAGAGTATATAATGTATATAGAGTATACAAAAATTTGTTTAAAGGGAAATGCAGAAGCTCTACCCAATTTATAACTAGTCATCACCACAGTGTTAATATCTATTGACTTGTATGTCTCTCCTACCAGAATGTGAGCCTGTGGGCCAGGTTCAGTATTTGATTCATCTCAGTGTCCTTGGATTAATTCTCAGCCTAGGTACTGTTAAACAAAACTGAACCTCCTTGAGCTAGCTAGCCTGAATCCCAACTGCTGAGTGATTATTTTTAGGCTGTTCACCTTAACTTTCAGGACCTACCAGAAATAAGAATCCCCTTCAACTGGTACAATCCAGATCTGAGCCCAGCCTGCTAGCACCCTTCTGCAGCACCAACACTATCCAGAGTTAAATCCAGAATTTACAGTCTGTTACCAAACAGATGCACCTTAGAGCAGGCCAGAAGTCAGTAAAGCACCCCAAACTTAAAAAGGAACTTGGACATTTAGGAACTTGTTATGTCACTTTAGTCATTAAAAATAATAATAATAATAATAATAAAGCAATTCCTGTTCTCGGACTCAAGCATGAAGTAATCAAATATATGAACAAAGGTATATGAAAAAAGACATGTATTTTATGTTTTACTATAGGCTTATAACATGAATATGTGAGGAAAAAACTAAATAAACTAAATTACAATACCTCTACACAAAGAAATATTATGCCTCCATTAACAATGTATTTTAAAGAATTTTAAGTAATAATGAAATCTGTTCATGATTTAATAGCAAAGTAATAAAAACAGATTTAGTAAAAAGACTACTGTATGAACCCAATTATGTTTTTTATATATTTGTAAAATATATAATTATAATATTTAGAAAAAATAGTCCAAAATGTTACATGTTTCTGGGATTTTTTTTTACTTTTATTTTGAAATTATTTCAGATTTAAAGAAAAGTTGGAAAAATAGTGCCAAATGTTTACCACATACCTTTCACCCATATCTAACCACATTTGCTTTATCAGTCTCATGCTTACTCAATTTTCTTTTATCTAGATAGACATATCTAGAGGCAATTGTAATTATTTTTTGATCCATTTATCCCTAAATATTTTTCAGTTCCCTCAAAACAGAGTGCAAAAATCACAGTATAATTATCAAAATTAGAAACGTAACCCTGATACAGTACTATGATATAATCTATGACCTTATTCTGATTTTGCCAGTTATATTAGTATTTTTTATAGAAAACAAAAAACAATATTTTTTTGTTCTGGTCAAGAATGCAGTGCATGATTCCATGTTATAATTAGTTGTCAAGTTCCTTTAATTTTAATTAATCTGGAGCAGTTTCTCAGTCTTTCTCTTTTATGACCTTGACTTTTTTTAGAGTATAGTTTATATATTTGTAAAATTTCTGCCAATTTGAGTTTATTTCTTTATGATGAGATTCATGGTGTGCATTTTGGGCAGGAATACTACAATACTAATGTGTCCTTCTCAGTGAATTATACCAGAAGACGTGATACCTGTATGTCCCATCAGTGGTGATAGCAACCTTGTTCACTTAATTAAAGTGTAATCTGCCTGGTTTTTCCACCATAAAATAACTATTTTTACCTCCATAATAAATATCTGGGAGGGGTGGTCATTTGAACCTACTCAAAGGCTTTAGCATTTATTGATGATTCTTTTTTTTTAAATATTTTTTTAGTTGTCAGTGTACCTTTATTTTTTTTTATTTATATGTGGTGCTGAGAATTGAACCCAGTGAATCACATATGCTAGGCAGGTGCTTTACCACTAAGCTACAATCCCAGCTCTATTAATGATTCTTACTTGAAACAATTATTGCTATAGTAATTGCCAAATGATAACTTTTTACTTCCATCATTATCATTTGTCATTCTATTTTTTTATCTTTCTGCTGTATAAGAGATCTTTTTGGTTCTCCATTTATTCATTTATCAATATATTTATATCAAACTGAATTCATTGTTTTTTATTGTAGTAATTACATAGTCATTACTACCATTGTTTATATTGAATTGTTTACATGAGTTTGCTTACATAAGTTGTAGATTTGGTTGACTTCTATGTTCTTTTAGCATTTTTTCATCATTTTCTAAAATTTTCCATATTTTTATTGGTGCATTATAGTTGAAATAATAGAGGGATTTGTTGTTACATATTATGTAGGCACACAATATAATCATATAATTTGGCCAATATCACTCCCCAGTATTTCCCCTTTTCCTCCCCTCCTCTCACCCCCTGGTCTCTTCCTCTACTGATCTCCCTTCCATTTTCATGAAATTCCCCTACCTGTTTTATTTTCCTTTTTTTTTTCTGTCTAGTTTCTTGTGGAC